ATGTATCGCAGGATAAACAGACAGTGGCGTCCAGTTGTATTGTCTGAGGTTGATGCATTTATGAATTACGCTATTCGTTGCGAGGCAGGCTTTACCTTGTTTGGAATAAGGCTGACGGAGGAATTGGCTGTGATCTCACTTCTGTCATGTTTCCTTCAATTTTTTAACATATATAAAAAGGTGGCTTAAACAGTGAAATGACGAGTTCATAGTTTGACTTTCTATAAGTCCCATAATGCATTGCGCATCAAGAACGATCCAAGATGTCGTAATATGCCTTCTGTTTCGTTATCGTTAGTTCACAACTTGCTGTAACGCATCATCGGATCCTTTCGTGAGTTGGCGGGCAGACCTCGTGGCTCGGTTTTAAAATCCCATGATGCATTTTGCACTAAGACGTATTCAATGTATGACGTAAACCAGTGTATGACGTTACTCTTTTGAAGATAGTAATGTTGAAGTTTTAAAATGCATGCATCATCATATACCAGTATACATAAAGCGGAAAAACACGTCGGTTTTAACTCGTGGATACGCTAGGCGCAACCCGCCCTCTCGTCCACTCGCGATCTCAGAGCACAGGGAGCCCAATCTCTGAAAAGTACGAGTAGTATCTTTGATTATTATTTGTATGTATAAATCAGATATAATAAAATAAATATTTCTTGTGGTTAATGTTGTAGTATTGTATAGTCTTCGACTATTTAATAACAAAACGGCCACAAAAAATAAACTTGAAGCTGAACATTGCGCCTGCTCTATTGCCAGCCAGCGGAGGGCAGGAAGCCGAAAATAAAGGTGTCATAGCTTGGGTTTCCTGTGGTGAACAGTTTTAACTTCCTGTTCGCTCTCATGTTATGAATCAGTTTCAACTTCAACTTGAAAAGYGAAAAATTATTTCCTTCTATATTTGAATTTTCGTTAAACAATGGCAGGTAAGTTGGGTGATATGAACTGAACCCCTCAGGCGAAACGGTTCACGGCAATTTTCACTGTTTTCATGCAATTCATTAAACCGTTAATATATAAGTTGAATGTTCTCTTTTGTATTTCTTTCTCAGAAATTCTAACATCAGAGACAATCCTAAAAGTCGTTTTACGTACAATATTTGGAATACCAATAGCACAAACCCCTAGAAACCAACTCAGATATGGGATATTTCACAACTTGTTATCTGCACTTCTACTTACAAGTATATGGGGTGCCTTTTGTTATGATATGTACTGTGTAAAGACTTACTGGCGAAGTTCCCTTAGACCACATATTCCGATAGAAACACTCTTGCTTCTTATACCACTTAATCTTTCTGGTGCAGTAACCTATACCCTCATGGTGTGGTTCTTCTATAGCAACGATTTCCAGCATTCGCACACAAGACTAGTAGTGCCACACTTTGATTTTATGCCTGAAGGACATCAGGAAGATATTGGGCCAACAAGAAATGACTGGAAGTATGTCAACATCTTTCTTCTCTTTGGAGTCATCATAGTCATTCTGGTTTTGGTCTTTGCTTTTGTCTTTAATGTATTTTTTGACTTTGATGGCATTCATAACTTTACAATTCATATCCATGACTTGAAGAGAGATTTGTACTATTTTGATATTGCAGTTATTTACTGGGGATTCGCTGGATCTGTTGTCGCCTGCTGTATTTTTTTCATCTGCTGCAGAGATATTGTACNACTTCTACTTACAAGTATATGGGGTGCCTTTTGTTATGATATGTACTGTGTAAAGACTTACTGGCGAAGTTCCCTTAGACCACATATTCCGATAGAAACACTCTTGCTTCTTATACCACTTAATCTTTCTGGTGCAGTAACCTATACCCTCATGGTGTGGTTCTTCTATAGCAACGATTTCCAGCATTCGCACACAAGACTAGTAGTGCCACACTTTGATTTCATGCCTGAAGGACATCAGGAAGATATTGGGCCAACAAGAAATGACTGGAAGTATGTCAACATCTTTCTTCTCTTTGGAGTCATCATAGTCATCCTGGTTTTGGTCTTTGCTTTTGCCTTTAATGTATTTTTGACTTTGACGGCATTCATGACTTTACGATTCATATCCATGACTTGAAGAGAGATTTGTACTATTTTGATGTTTCATTTATTTACTGGGGATTCATTGGATCTGTTGTCGCCTGCTGTATATTTTTCATCTGCTGCAGAGATATTGTACGACACATAGAATTTACAAAGACTCTCATAGTTACAAAAGCAAAAAATTACCTAACTGCTAGACATTACCATGAATGTCTGCTAAGATATTCAGATGATGTAATGAATACAACTAAACTGTGGTTTGTGGTCCATAGTTTATTTTTCGTATTTATTGTGCTGACTGATGTCTTTGTATGGATCATGGCATTTTCAGAGATTAGACATCAACCTCATAACTTGATACCTATCTTGATGGGACAAGTTGYAGGTTCCTCATTAATAGCTTTCAAGTTTGCATTCCCCTTCCTGGCTGCYAGTCGTGTGACAGCTCGGTATGACAGAATGTATCGCAGGATAAACAGACAGTGGCGTCCAGATAATTTATCCGAGGTTGATGCATTCATGAGTTATGCTATTCGATGTGAGGCAGGCTTTACCTTGTTTGGAATAAAGTTAACAGCTGAATTGGCTCTGATTTCACTGCTGTCGTKTTKCCTTGGGTTTTGCAGAATRTTCAAAAACGTTGCTTGAGCACTTTGTCTGGGACCTTTAAGGATTCAACTGGGCAAAATTTTGAGATGTATACTTGGTTAACATTAAAGTTAACTTCTGATAGACCCTGTAGACTAAATTCTGTTCCATTGTTCACAGTCGCACTGTGCTTGGGTTGCGAAGAGTCCCAAGCGGCACCAGCACCTTGCCGAGAAG